GGTACATATACATTAATACGAGCACTTGATAATATGTAAAACAACATCAAAATCAAAATCGATGTTTGAGTTGATGATAGAAGTCATGACTAACTACTTCAATTTATTCGATTCTAATTTCCATTGAGAATACAAATTAGCAAAAGCCTTCCCGTCTGTGTACTGGAGTTTTGAGTTTTCATCAACTCTCAGCAGTTAGCTAGATATACATTAATTCTAATTACTCGCACTCAAGGAAGTCTACTTAATATATATAAATGTGAATATCATAGCAAATGAGAAAGTTTTTTTTTTTTTTTTTTTTAAACCCAGTTGGGATTGTTATTTAAATATCATATGTGAATCATAGACCCATAATATTAAATTTGATAATGTAATGAGTCTGCTAAGGGACAAAGTACATGGGGTTAGGGAGCTTAAAAGTGCGGTTTCCTAGAGCATCACCCATAAGATCACTCCACTGATCTCCTACATTGCCCACTATTCTGTACCCGTCTTCCACTAACTGTCTCCTTACTGCTGATTTGAATGTTATTGCGCTTTGACCTCTGTAGCTCTTATCCCTTCACACACAAACACACACACACATCTATTAAGATATAATAATAATTGGATTGTTAAATTATCCTGATAATTGACTGAGTAAGTAAGTGAGTAATTAAAAATATGTAGCATGAAATAATTTTAGAGGTGTACATAAATATATATACCTTAGTATGAGCTTTTCGTAGCCGAAAAAACCTTGGTTTTGCAGGTTTTTAATAGTGGCGTTTCGAAATGTGTCCTCAGACCTTCCGGTGACGAGGAAAACCTTAAATCCTCTTCCGATCAATATATTGAACAAATCCCTAACATTAGCGATGACAGGGCATTCCGACTGCAATGCCCATTTCTGGAATGCGACCGGGTCGTATGGCAAAACCCTAATACATCAATCACATAATTAATTAATTAATAACCAACCTATCAATCAATTAATCAATCATGCATATCACGTTTAATTATATATAGATCAACTGATTAATTAAACAAACATTTAGTTAGCAGACAGGACAGAGTATATATATATATATATATACCCATAATTTTTGACATTTCGGTAGTAAGGAAGGTTTGAAATGCAGGTGTCGTCAACGTCAAGGACCCAAGCATCCAAACCATCTGTTGAGATATTAATGTTTATCGCATATTTAATGATGCTCTGCACAGCTTCCCACGTATCCGAGTTGTACTGCGCGCCTTCCATGTAGTACTTGACGTGTAGCAAGCACTCCCAGGGCACGGTGGGCCACCCTCTTATATTGTTGGTCTCCACCCCCAACCGCCAGCTCAGGCACCAGTCCGCCGGAGCCGGTACCGGAGGCCGAGACGACGGCGGCGGCGCCCGAGTCCACCTAAATGCTGCCGCCGTTGGCCTGCAGCAGCAGCAGCTTTCTCCAAACACCAACACCAACAACATAACGCCAAACATCTCTCTTCCAATTATTAATCCTAGCTAAGAAAAAACATCAATATAATTATATATGTATATCTCAAAAGGCTTGCAAAAATAGTTAGTAAATGAATAAATAATAATACAAAGTTAGTTTTGCTAAGGAGCGGAATTGAGATGATTTTAATATAATATATGCATTGTCTGATCACCTTGTATATATTAAGTAGTACTGATTACTGAACTGAAGTTTAATATATATATATATATGTATAATCTAAGACATATATGCATGCAAATGCAAATATGCAATGCAGAGAGAAACTAATTAATTAAATAAGTGAGTATATATTGTTATTAGTATATTATTCTACTTATAATAATATATAGAGGTCGCAGCAAGCAAATGAAATGGATGAGAAGAAGAAGAAGAAGAAGAGGCAAATAGTTGGGTGGGGGGCAGGCCACCAATTTTTTCTCCACTGTGCCTAAAAATGCGCGCCATTAACCTTTATTTAATTTTAGTCAATGCACATAGCTCTTTCCACATGCATGCATACAATGATATATATGTACGACTTTAGTTAATGTCTATATAAATAAATATATTTTTAAGAATAAAAGTTATATACAGTGACATATGTACGGTGTACTATTTTTTTTTTTTTTTGCACATGGACCTTCCGGTTTCCGAATCCACAGGGGAACCGACTAATCCGAAATTGAGCCGGGTAGGACCACAAGGGCAGCAAAGCTCTCCCTCAAAAATTTTTAACACTGCTGCATTCCCAAGGCTCGAACACGAGACCATTGGTTAAGCTGGAAGAGACCCAACCATCTCATCCAAACGCTCTTGGGTTGTACAGTGTACTACTTTAGTTAATGTCTATATATATTGATGATATTTAAGATATTTATTAGGGGCGAGGGCAAGTATAAGAATCATTTTTGGTTTTGTTTGGTCCATCGGTAAAAAATTATTTCATTCAGATGTGAATTATTGAAATAAATAAAAAAATAATAATTTCATTTTTTCCTTAATGTCCCTCTAACACAACTGAAAGATAAAATATCATTATTATTATTATTTATGAATAATAAAACTATATATTCACACTTATATATTAATTTCTATATCTATCATTAGTATCAAATTTTATTAATTGCTTTTATATATCAAACCTACTTTAATCATTACATATTTACCTCCCACGTTTTTACAATTCAGAATCCATCTAATTTTTCTACCAAAAAAATGTATTCTTTTTTTTTTATTCACTTAATTTCCATTTTAATTATATTGTAGGTGAGAGTCGTGAGACAAAACTTATATATATCCAATGGCATATAGTATTCGATTCGAGAACTCCCAATCTACAATATACTACTACTTTTTGGTTAGTTATTCCAGCTATTGAATATTTTAATATATATTCCACTTTCTGGTTGCTTACTACATCTATAAAATTTTGTTACTGTTTTTATTACTTAGGATTAATCCATCATGATGATGAGTAACCATTTTACTAGTGTTGTAATATGATATCTCCATGCAAATAAGAAAAAGAGAAAAAGACATAACCAGAAAAAAAAAAAAAAAAAATGATTTATTATATGTATAATGTATGTATACAAACAGTTATAATTTACATAAATAATGACCTAAATAATTTGATTCGAGTTCATTTCTCTATTATACATGCCTACATGAAAGTAATGTCCAGAATAATTAACCAAGATAACAAACTCTTGAGGGAGAGCTTTGCCGCCCTTGTGGTCATACCCAGCTCGATTCCGGATTAATCGGTTCTCCTGTGGATTCGGAAACCGGAAGGTCCCTTTTCGAAAAAAAAAAAAGAATTATAAAAAACAAATAAATAAATATATAATCACCCCACATACGTAAAAAAACATCATGATATATATAGGCCTGAATTGATCACCTAATTAATAATCACCTTGGCATAGTAACAGGAATTGCTCTGAGGTCTTCCATGCAATTGATGGCGGCTCTTCTTTCTTTATAAACTTTACCGTATAATCAATACTTTTTCCCAACTTTGCCTAGCTACCTACCTACCTACCAATTTAGCTAGCCACCCACTTTTTCCAAAATATATATATTTTTTTTTAGTGTAAAGCGCTCATCTTGTGTTAGAACTTGAATTAGAATAATATATGTTATAACACAGAAAAGTTGAAATAACGTAAGTACAACAAAATATAAAAATTCTTCGGGAGCGTCCTGTAATAATATTTTATATATTATTCAATTATTGTGAACCATATAATTAGTTAGACCTAATTGAATTGATAGTCAAACTTAATTAAGGTGAATATATATTTAATATATGAAAGAGTTCAATATGTGATGTTTGACTTGGACAGTAAGTTAGGTTAGAACATGGAGAATGTTAGTAGGAATAGGATTGTAGGTCTCATCCTATATATTACTACGTAGTAATATATAGGATGAGACGTACAATCCTATTCCTACTAACATTCTCCATGTAGTAGTATAGGATGAGGCCCTTGGTGTAATATACATGCCCTTCTCTCCCATTTCATACGAAATAAAGTTCTCAACATCAAGGGCCTTATGAAAAGACGAGAGACGCGAGAGAGAGAAACAATTCATTGTCAAAGAAACGAGATTACGAGCAAGAGGATCGTAAGGGAGATTACAAAGAAGAGGATCGTAGATCAACGGGAGATTACAAAGAAGAGTATCGTAGATCAACATCATGGATCAAGAAAACAGGAAAGGACTATAGCTGGATTCTTGTAAGTTCTATGTGCAATTTAATTTATGCAAAGATCCATATCTATGAAGTGATAGAATTACATGCTTAGGGTTTATTCAATTCCGCCTAATTGTTATGGATATACCCGTTAAATTTCTTACATGTGGTATCAGAGCATGTGTTTGTGCATAATTATATTGCCGCTAATGTTTTTGCGAATTGGCTTTGTGTGATTCTTATTGTAAATTGTTTTGAACAATCTGATGTTTACTTTACGTGTCCATGATCGATACCTGGGCAAATAAATGTTAAAGTACTCGAACTGTTTATTAATTCTCGTAATGACATTGAGTACTCGAGCTGTTTATTAATTCCCGTATTGTAAAAATGTATAAACTCACAACACAATTTTGAAATTTTCTCAGTTCATAATTTTCTCCTCAAAAGAACAGAGTACGTACGGCCAACTTTATATACAAATCCTACATGCAAGAAGAAGATCAAAGCGACGTCGTTGACATGCCAAACGACGTCGTTTGTAGTAAAGAAAAGGGAAAACAAAAGGAAAGCAAAACGGCGTCGTTCCATTAAGTGATACGACGCCGTTTAGGATCAAAGCCAAAAAAAATAAAAAAAAAAAGCGATTTTGATAAGTCGCCACTTGAAACAATGCAGCATCTTCTTCATGCAGATATGATGAAAGTCGAACTGCAGCTGCATATTCTCAACACCCGCCCCTCAAGTTGGGCCGTGATCGACCTCAACCATGCCCAACTTGGACACAAGATCAGAAAAACGATGGCCTGCTACGATTTTGGTAAAGAGATCAGCCAATTGATGCATGGAAGCAACAAACATAGGAAGTATGAACCATTGCTTATATTTATCTCTCACAATATGGCAATCAATCTCAAGGTGCTTTGTGCGCTCATGGAAGACGGGATTTGCCGTGATGTGCATTGCAGCTTGATTGTCACACCAAAGAGGTATAGGGAACACAAGAGAAATGTGGAACTCTTGAGCCAAGTAATGCAGCCACATTAATTCTGAGACAGTTGACCCCATTGCCCTACACTCTGCCTCAGCCGAGGATTTTGACACAGTGTGTTGTTTTTTACTCTTCCAAGAGACAAGGGCATCACCAAGAAAGATGCAAAAACCTGTGATGGATCGTCTAGTGTCTTTGCAAGTGGCCCAATCAACATCACAATAGGCCACTAGAGTGAAAGATGATGACTGAAAAGGATAAAATAGACCCAGTGATGGCTTGCCTTTCAAATACCTCAAAATGTGCAAGGCTGCAACCCAATGTGAATCATGAGGATTGTTAACAAACTGACTGAGCTGTTGAACAACATAAGTCACATCTGGCCTGGTAAGTCCAAGGTAGAGCAATCTCCAAATAAGTCTTCTAAATAATTCAGGTTCATCCATGGCTGTTCCACTGTGAGCTTCTAATCTGATTCCAAGAGGTAGAGGAGTAGGAGAAGCTGCACATTCTAACATATTCAAATCCCTAAGAATGTCTAGTATGTACTTCCTTTGACACAAAGATACTCCTTTAGAAGTGTAGGTCAACTCCACCCCCAAGAAGAATTTTGCAACTCCAAGATTTTTAATAGTAAACTGCTCATCTAGGAACTGCTTCAAGCCTTGTATTAGAGAGAGTGATGAACTAGTGACTAGAACATCATCAACATAGACCAAGAGGGCCAGATAATCAGAGTCCTTTGTTAGGGTAAAGAGACAATGGTCATAAGATGATTGCAGGAGACCAAATTG